ATACACCGTGAAAAGATGAAAAAACTTACTGACGTTTCGGACGCTAGTCCTTCGTCGGAGTAAAAGAGCAAAAGAGTAAAAGAGCTCTTTTACTCCGACGAAGGACTAGCGTCCGAAAYGTCAGTAAGTGTGTGTAATTAGTTAGTGTAATTTCTCCTGAAGGATCTACCCGTGGATAAATAAAGCTATCTATCTATCTATAAATACATGCAGCTCTTAACTTCGTTTGAGTGGTATCCAGTTCAAGTATCTTGTTATGCTTAACCGTTAAGGTGACTGCCTACTTTTGRAACACGATTTAAACTTTTTTTAAAACTTCGCAAAATTTGAGGGTCTTGCCCCTGTTGAAGCTCAAAACGCGTATGGTTCTTCAATAAAATCTTGTAGATTTTTCAGCGGTTTTTGAGCGTGCGCACATYGTSGGCTCAAATCGAACGTTTAAAAGTAGGCAGCCACCTTAAACAAAAAATAATCTTAGATATGACATGTAATCTGAATTGGGAAAGCATTACGCCCAAGTGCATTTGGTCTATCCATTCGCATATCATGTTTTTTATTCTCTTTCCCTTACTCTTTCTCTCACTTTCGAAGACTTAGACTTGGACTTAATATTAAAAATGTGTATTTTATTGGCATGAATAAGAATATCACAGTAAAATTTGTTTCAAAAACGTATTTCTCTAGAAATTCAAGAAAATTTAGCACAAGTTGTGACGTCATTTTGTTTACAAGTCTCCAGATTTAGTTGCAAATACACGAAATTTGTTTGAATGCAGAATCTTAATTTCAGGTAGCTAGTACACTTTTCAGTTTCCCAACATTTGAAGAGTACTACGTAAGCTATCAAATGAAGCTGAATATAATATGCCTTTTGTTGTTATTTTATACGAATTACAATTTATATTTAGTGCATTACTACTGAATCTAGAGTACGTGTCAACAAAATGACGTCACAAATTGGGCTTAATTTTCTCACATATCTCAAGAATTAAGCTTTTGAAACAAATTTTATTACGATGTATTTATTATTATTAACAAACTATACATTTTAAACGATGAAATGTTTTCGTGTCATATACACTTTAATTATTCTATTAAGTTAGTAATATTTTAGCAAATATAACATAATAATTTTTAATAGTTTTTCCAATAAAGTTATTTCCGTTTTGATTCATTTTTTCATTAATTAAGATTTTTTTTCCAGATGAAGTCTTCATTTGTTGTTCTCATCGGACTGTGCATTTGTCTGCAGGGGAGCTGGAGTAATCCTGCTTGTGGTGTACAAGGGAAGGTAATATATAATCACACACTTTCACACAGATAACTAGTAAGTCAAGTTCAAGTTAAGTTATAACTTCTGTTCTTGGCTCTAAGTCTGACAGACCATGGGTGACTCTTTTTGCTCCTTGGGCTTCCTGTGGCGAGGACAAAAAGACGAAGGRGGAAGRGGAAGGGGGAGTGAGAAAGAAGAAGAGGAGATGCTACTCCTCTCGCTTTCTCTCCCTCCCTCGTCCCCACTCCTCCTYCTCCTCTCTCGTTCCTAGTTCTTCTCTGCCATRAAATTTAATACAGGGATCGCAACAGAGAATATAGAATATATGGAGTAGCCTGCGGAGGGGGCTTGGTACAAGGCATAGCTTGCTGTAGTTAGTAGGCTCTAGGGGGTAGGGGTAGGGGACAATCTAGGTATAGGGTGCATGCCGTGAGAGGGGAGCCCCCTAAATCAGCTACGAATGCTACTTGTTGTACAACAGTGATTAATTCGAGGTTTTCCACTAGTACCCCAGGAGTTGTCAGACCCTACCAAGACATTCAGTGAGCGGTGTGTACAAGATTCARCCAATCCCCGATATTGACCCCATTGAGGTGTACTGCGAGATGGCGATCAGTGGTGGTGGCTTCACGTTCCTTCCTCGCAGCTTCACCAGATTACCCTACGCCACGCGAATCGTCAGGGCTTTATTCCTTGACAAAAAGAACGTGTTGCTCAAGTTACAAAAGAAAAACGATCGTAGCGAGGCATACACCCTGATCCAACCCCATCCATCCTTTGCCAATACTGATTTTGGAGTTTTGGTMAACAGTTTTTCGGGCTACACTGCTCCGAAGAACGCCTTCATGGGAGAGTACATCTTCCTCGGTATCATCCCTGCATCGGCTGCCAGGAACAAAAAAATCCAAGGCTTTAAAGCCAACGGGCACACGATCCAGTTCAGAAAATGTGGCATATYCCCTAACAGCTTGTTTGCGTTCATGCCAAACCATAACCTACAAAACCCAAGTGGCTTTCATCCGAATCTGGTATATGAGAGTTCTGGTGTTGCCGTGGACTGGCGTTCTAGGGCCATCCCCATCACCAATCCAGACCGTATCATGMYCAATCAGTTCTTCTTCCTGACCGAGTTGCACTTTGGAGGCTGTGGCTGCTACACCTCTAGCAACCGCTGGATCAAGGACGGCTATCACGCTACTGCCATTGGAATCCGCTAAGACTGACCTATCCGTCTAGATCTCCCACTAGTGTAGGTCAATAGGTAGATTTGACACAGGAAGCCCATTATCGGTTTTTGACAAAATATGTAGTAAGCTAAAAGAACGCCGGGGAATAACCAATGTGATAATCAATAAAGTTAGTATGAACATGAATGAGCGTGTTTTTATTGGGGGGGAGGGATGGGGTTGTAYAGGTGGATGGTCATATATGAACATTTATATATACAGAATATATATGTACGTATGACGTGTATGTGTGGAATATGTGAATATAGATATTATGCACATACATAAACATACGTATATATTCGTAACTTATTTGGAACTAAGTTGATGTGCAACTTTGTACAAAATGCCAAATAAAATATGTCTGTCTGTCTGTCTGTCTGTCTGTCTGTCTGTCTGTCTGGTCATAAAAGATCAAAAATCACTTAGAACGTGCAGTTGGTCTGAAATAGTAACGTAGAAATGATTTCACTGCAATAAGGTGGAAATGGAGCATCAACAACTCAAATGTCGGCAATAAAAATATGAAWCTCATTATTCTGAAATCCATAATTTCAAGAGGAAAAGTGACACTTCAGTTTTTCGAATTTCCTTAATTCTGACTGGCTATATTTTTGCAAAACAGATAATAATCCTGACGTGCAACTCCYGTGAACCCTTGCATAATCTGGTACTTCCCCGTTGAGTAAGGGCTTCTCATTGCTCTTTTTATCATCCATGGGCTGCCTGTGGTAAGACTTTTCAAAACTCACATGACACCTAATCACTCTTACGTCACGTCTACGTAGATCTAAATTTTGGGTGGAGAACGGTCCGTATGGCACGTGGAGCATAAATCCTGTAACATTTATTTCGTTTGTCTGTCTCGTTTGAAAATTTTATTTTTAGTTATTTTCTGTATTTCCGGTCTATGTTAATTTGTTTCCGGTATTTTTGACATCCGATTTTACCAGGTAATTCATCTAAACGAGCCTCAGCATACACCGCTCTTTAACAGCTCGTTGTTTATAAAGCAGTTTTTTTAGAGTTTGTGGATTATTTTTCCTTCGTAAAACGAATGTTTTAGCCTTTTACTTTATTTCAGCGTGTGTTTCAGTTCTAGTCTATGTTAATTTACTTCCGGTRTTTTTGACATCCGGTTTTACGAAGTAATCCGAACGAGGCTCAACATCRAATCCAAACACGTTCATTATTTTCGTTTCTACTCAAGAAAACAAAAGCTCTCTTTAAAATAAATGAATATATTGCTTTCGATTTGTCCATAAAACACACACCTAAATAACCCCAAATCTTAGTTCTTCTTTTGAAAAAAATTGAAATCGAWACAAAGGGAATAAGAAGACTAGCATCATTCAACTGTTTTAGCTCAAAACTGAAGGTAAGCTATCATAAAGACGATTTGTTTTGACAGAATTCTTATAATGATTTCCGCCTTATTCTCTTATTATCCTCATAAAATTCTACACATGAATAAATGGATAAATTATATTTTGATTCTAACTTCGTATCTCGACAAAAAAAGTCTGTTTTAGAAGAAAATAATTTAACGAATACTTAATTTAYATTCATTCAAATTTTTGTTATGTATTTCCAATGAAATTAAGCTTTATTATTGTAAATAACCTTCATTTTATAAATAAGTTACTCAGTTCCAAATATTYAGCATTTTACGACTTTTCGTCGTACTTTTTTCCCCTCAAAAATCATTTAGATAAAACACAAATTCTACGAAAAAATCTTGATTAATGTACGTTGTATCTCGTGAACACCACACGAACAACTGTTATGAGTAAGCTTACATAWATTTACTCCAGCCAATTATTTCGGTTGCTATAAAAACATTGAGTGAGGTCAAATCGGGAATATTACAATTACATAATCACTGGAGCATTTGCTTTGACAGTCACATGTGTTATAAGAGCACTCCTAGCTTCGTTACTTTGGCCGTAATATGTTTTCCCATTTCAGACCATGTGTCATTCCCTTGAGAATCATTTCTTTGTTTAACGGTTGTGCATGAGAGGACACATGAATATGGTACAACTTTAAAAAAAGAATTTTATTCTCATGAGAATGACATGAGGAATATATTACACACCCAAGATCATTAAGATCACGCAGGTCTATTAAACTGATTGAGTCATTACAAGGATCACGTCACMTAGAGCCAAGCCTAGTTACATATATAATGTGGTATATTGATGCTTCGAGAGATTTGTCTACCACCTTTCTCTGGTGCATAACATTGTGGTGGTGCTAGCTGTCAGTGATCAGTGTTCYAACACATTAAGTGAGCCCTATGCGTTTAATCCATCATGGCCGATGTCACCTGTTTCTCTTTTGATGATTACCACAAAATATCAGGTATATGGTACCATGCATAGGGATTATATCTATCTATCTACCATCCATTTTTAATGCATACTTGTTGTTGTCACAGGAAAAGCTTCATCCTATAATACAATGTCACTAAGCAAAACAAAGGAGTTTGACTTGCARTATAAAGTTATAGTCATTGGTGAAACAGCGGTTGGAAAGTCATCTCTTATAAGACGTTATGCCAATCCTGAACARCCATTCACAAGCAATATGATATCAACAGTAGGTAAGAAACTAATGGATAGATGGATGTAGTATAGCATAGTACAGCAGTGCATAACATACGTTTGTAGCCAACCTCATGGAATTAATATAAGAAGTCTAGTCAAAAGGGGCTCTTCATTGACATCCGCTCCACATATACTTCCACTACGTTTTTCCAGTATTACAGTACAGTAGTACGTGATGGTTGTAAAAATTATCTTTTTGATCCAGTGTTTCTTTGTACGTATAGGTGTCATGATGAGCCGAAAGCTTGGATCAATATTAAATAACRTTATAATAATATAATATCTTTCATGGTTTTCTTTATTTGCAGGCATTGATTTTGTTAATGTTGACACCAAAGTAGATGATTTAACAGTAAGACTGCAGATATGGTAAGTATATATACTAGGGAACAATTCCTCATGCAGTTCATATTCTTCCAGAAGTTATATATATAGACCTCATTTTATAATTTTATGTACCTAAGTGTGACATCATCAAATTACAAATTTTGCAATTCAGTTTTGAAATGTTCATATTATTTCCAAGAGAACACACCATTGCCTACATTTTTGCCAACCTTAAGGTTGTTCTGAGTTTTAGAAATTGAGATATGCTCCAAAAAGTCCCATTTATTTTTTTATTTCATTTTGGACTGGATCCAATCATGTTAGATCCAGCCTCAAATGGGAGAGAAAAATTTGTATAGGAAATCGCACGATCTCAAGTACAATTTGGAAATTAATAGACACGAGTAATGTTTTGAAAGTTCTTGTAATTGSACGAGCCTTTAGGCGAGTACAATTAAAGAACTTTCAAAACATTACGAGTGTCTATTAATTCCAAATTGTACGAGAAGATCGTGCGATTTTTTGTTTATAGTTCACTCAACAAAATTTCAGTCATCTTTGTCTATTTGGCGGCCGATTTCCAGTCCATCGTGCAACTGAAATGCATAAAAAAGATTAGTTCTTACGGCTTTAAAATTTTATTTATGCTTTTTAAGTACRAAATGATAGAAAATAATTGTTTTGAAATTGTTTTGGCCGTGTTGCCATAGCGACTTAATTYGGTACTCCTACGGAGTACAATTAACGCTATAATTGTACTCCTCTCGACCAATCAGAGTCGAGTAATTTTGTTGAGTGTACTATAAATGGGGATATATGTTTTTCACTCTATTGCTCTGAAATTTTGCACTATATCATATTATTTTTACATGTAGTTTCTGAGAATGTCAACAAAATCCTGAATGTCTTTAAAAACAATTTTGTGACATCATCACTTTGGTACTCTATTTCCTATTTTCTTTTTTCCCTCTGTTGTATATAAAACACAAAAAAAWTTGAGTTACATATATATTTTCATTTCCCAAATTTAATTCAGTCTCTGAATGGTGTTGTATGGGATAAGCCATATTTTGGGATATAGAATTTCATGTTTTGAATAAACTGAACTTACTTATTAATATTATATAAAAAAGGCTAGAAAATTAGTGTATCTTATACCTTTTAGGGATACAGCAGGACAAGAGAGATTTCGCACCATGACAAAGAGCCAGTTTAGAGGAACAAAGGTAAACAGTCAAGAGCTGCGTGTCAATGATCTCTCTCTCTCTACAGACATGTGAATAATTGTCCAAGGTGTTAAAAAAAGGTCTTATATCATTGCATGCTCACCATTCATCCCGCTTCGATACAAAGCCAGGGCTACCTTTCAAGATGGTGCAGGGAACTGTGAAGGGSACTGTTTTGCAATTTTACRATTTAAATCAAGAGCCACCCAACAAAAAAATTCAGTAATGCAGCAGTGAGACCACTCGCCTCTCACCAATACACTGTTGGAGCAGAACATGTGAAATGGCTGTGAAACACCTGTGAAAACTTTCACAGGATTTTCACATATTTTTTTCACATGTTCATGTGAAAAAAAACATGTGAAAACCCTGTGAAATGGGTTCCTCCTTTTCACATCCTTAACATGTGAAATAACCTGTGAAACACCTGTGAAAACCAAATCCACTTTTTATAATATAAATCCATTTCACATGGTAAAAACATGTGAAAATCCTGTGAAAACCGAATCCATATAAATCCATTTCATATGGTAAAACATGTGAAAAACAAATTTACATGTTGTAATACAATTTTATTTCGCATGCAAAAGAATGTGAAATTATATTATCTTTAGATCTGAAAATACTGTGCATGTGATGTAAACTACTTAAATTTAGATATCTGAATTAGTTGATCTAATACAGGTAGTTTTTAACCATAAGAAATTTATAAATAAGCTTTAATTACAACAAATTTCCTATAAACTACAAGGCAATATTGACATCTCGTGCTAACGATTTATAAATACAGCACTTCATCATCAGTTAGGTTTTCAGGAGGTTAGACCTACAAATTCGAAGGGTAAATTAGTTACATTATATAAAAGAAACAGGTTCCATATCTCAATACAACTTTCCATGAACAGTAGATTTAAGAAAATGCTAGGATTTTGACCTAAATATAGCCAGCCGCCTAGATTGTCATTCTTAATACTCACAGAGGACATTTTGATCGCTTACCTCAGCGAAATCTCTTGAAAATTCGTTGATCTATACCAGATTACCCTCAGGTTATGAAGTATCACATATTAGTTCGTTGTTCCCCGTTTTTCTCAGGGGATTTTAGGCTATTTAGAAGCACAATTATCCATGAACCATCCATGCTTTACCATAAAGAACGATTACAATAACTGAATGAAAAGTCCGCCTAAATTCGAACTGTTGAATCAGCCAATCAGAGCAAGCAAGGATATTCAAATATGGCAATCCGTATCCAAATATGGTCAAAACTCTACACCAGTCCGGCTCGGTTAGTCATGCCAACATGGCGTCTATCAATGTAGATCGTAATGTAGATCTCGTTCTTTCATCGATATGAATTATTGAAAGGTATAATTTAGGATGTTTAGAGAAGTATTAAAAACATGTTGGAGATGTAGTATAAATGTATTCATCGATTCTTCAAGGTTAGATGTGTAGTCTTGTAAAGTGTCTTATCAAATCAGCAGATGTATATTATCTAACCTTGAGGACGGAATCGATGCATTTCTCAAGGTTAGATAATTATACATTTGTTTTAAGAATATGGTAGTACTAGATATTTTTATATACAATAACCTACTTTTGATAATGACGAAAAGGAATAATAATATTCTATTTACCACTTTAAGGTAAGAATTTTGTAATAATTGTATGGAACAACTAGTTATAAAATGTCAACATATATTAAAAGTTTCATACGGTTTTCATTACATGGCTTTGAAATTTTCTTTGTATTTCACATGCATGTGAAAAAAATGATTCAAAATTTCACATGTCAGATTTCACATGTTTTAAAACTTTCACATGTTTCAAGTTTTCACTCATGAAATTTCACATGTTCCGTTTCACATGTCCCCAAATTTCACATGTCAGATTTCACATGTTCCCAAATTTCACAGGTGTTTCACAGCCATTTCACATGTTCTGCTCCAACAGTGATATATACTACCCGGATTTGATGGGGTCCCACCTTGCCCATGAATTGGTGTTGCATATAAGTAGAGTTGCTTTATCAATACTACTGTAGCTCCCTTTTTTGATATTTTTCTCTGGGTTCTTGCTGGCTTTCCTCAAAAAATCAAATTCTAAATTCCAATAAGGTCAAATTACATGCCAGTGGATTAAGAGCCACTTTGTGGAAATACCACTGTTAAATCCTGTTTATCACATTTATTCATAATCAAATTAAGACTGTGCATACTGCAGCAGTATTGATTTTGTATCTGTTATGTATTTTGCATTAACCAATATCGCTTCCTATGTGTTCTGTTTTACAGGGTGTTCTGCTCGTGTATGACATAACCAAGGATTTCTCATACGATCAGCTGCAGTTTTGGATTAAGAGTATCAAAGAAGTAAGCATTACTCACCCTGACTTGTGAAATGTGAAGCGTGAAAATGTGAAATGTGAAATTGGAAAACTGTAAAACTGTTCAGTCAGCCTACTACTTGGGAAATTTCTGAGCATATAAAAAATCAAGTCTGTGAATATTCCTGTTTTTTCATCTTTTCTATAGTTTTCCTTTTCTTCCTTTTTCCCACGTTTCCACAGGAAACCCAACCCCTTGTTTTATCACTCCCTAATTTTTCATTCATGTATGTTTTTTCTTTCTTTCCTATGCATTCATTTTCTCACATTTCCGCGATTTGTCCAGATCCCCATTTTTAATCATCTTTTTCCACACACAATTCTTCCGCATCTATCATTTTCTCTCTTTTTTATCTGATGTCATTTTACTTTATTATTTTCTTTAAGTGAGCAATTGTGTGGTTCTTTTTTTTTTTTTTTTTG